TACAGAAAGATTCATTTTACAAGCAACTTTTTAAGAGCAAATCCACCCCCTCCAGCAAGGAAAGGCTGTGCTCAGAAAACCACATTCTTTCAGGCCCCTGGGGTTGCGTGGGGGTGGGAACAGAAGTCTTTCTACACGCTAGAAGGCAGAGGTCTTTTCTTTTGTTAAAAACATAATTTCACCCTCACGCTGCTTTGTCTTTCCTGGCGTGGGCATTTTGGGGCTCTCGGGCCTTTCTGGAGCCACCACTTCCAGATACTAAGGGGCCTGCCTCCCTCTGGTCAGAGGCCCAGGAGTGGGCACTGGGGGTGGGAGAGAACCCGTCACCCCCTCGCTACTCAGAGCGGTGCCCAGCCTCTGTCTCACCTGGGAGCCCTGCCCAGTCCTGCCATGTCAGAGTCTGCATCTGAACAAGACCCCAAGGTGACTGAAGGCACATTAAAGTTGGGGAGTGCTGTCTCAAGGTGCCCTCAGCCTGCTCGCTCATGAGCTGCCATGCCTGCCTTCCTCCCCACTTCCAGGCTTCTCAGTGGGGTTCCCAGCCGAACCTCCTGAGACCCATTTCCACGCTGATTCTACAGTTTTGCATCTCCCTCTCGGCACGGAAATCCAGTGAGATGATCATGGCAGGACAGGGTGGGAAGTCAGGAGATCCAAACAAGACGTAATAGCAACAGTGAAGTCACCCAGCCCTTACGGGAGCACTCACAGCCCAGGAAGGAGGTAATAGGACCCAGGGGTTCAGAGAGGGGAAGCCATCTAGCCAAGGTAACACAGCAGTAAATGGCAGTGTCAGCATGACCCCACAGTCACCATGCTCTCCCTGGACACCCTGCTGTGTGAGGTCTTCCTTAATGGGGAAGTGGGAGTGGCTGCAGGGACAGCCAGACTTGCACCCTCTCCACCTGGCTTAGCCCACTGATTCCCAGTCTGGGGTTCCTGGAAGATCCTAAAGGCTCTGGGGGTTGGGGGGGCCTCCAGACTATTTATAGCCTCTCAAAGTCCCTGACAGTCACTGCATCTTTACTGAGGGCCAGGCCACCCTGGGCTTCATACAACACAATGTGTCTTTGCCTTGGATGGGACTATATCAGCTCGCTGCACCCGCTCAGACTCTCCGGAGCTGATGGGAGTCGAATAGGCATCATCGCAGCCCTTGATTAACCCAAAATGAGAACGCTTATGTTACTTAAATACAGTTTGTTTCTTGGGCAAACATAAGCCTTAGGGCAAATAACAGCAGGAGGGGCTTTTCCAATGGGAATGTAGAGAGCAATTAGTTTAGATATTTGAGATACTGAAGGGAGGGCACTTGTCTCCAATCCGTGACACCTGCTTTCTTATCTTTAATGTGAAGTCAGTCCTTCTCCACCCCACCCAGCTCCACTGGTGACAGGGGTGGCCAGAGGCAGCACCAACAGACAGGACTGGGGTCCACGGCTGCCCTGGGAGGCGCGGGAAGGACAGGGCCCAGCGTGCCCGCCCCCAGATGCTCCTCGCAACATGTTCTCCAAGCAAGCTGTCCTTGGGGACGACGTGTGGGCTCTTGTTTGCAGGTTTTCAGGGAAGTCTGGCAGAAACCAGACACAGACACACTTGAGTTTCTTGTAGAAACCTGCAGCAAAATGGGAGCAGGCAGCCCGGGAAGCATCGCGGGGAACGGGGCCTCTCCATGGGACACCCGCCCGCTCTGCACCTTCCCCCTGCTCAGCGTGGCCAGGGTGTGCACATGGGCTGGGCTGATGCTTCCCTGTCCTTCTGGGCAGACCGCTTCCTGCCCCATCCTTCCCACCTCCACCCCACAACCACAGGAGGTTTGAGGCCTTAGAGTCACCGGACAGGAGAGTTCAGAGGTTAAAGGTTAGAGGTTGAAGTCTGATGGGCACAGGAAGCTTTGCAATCAACTGACAACTTTGACTCGCAGCCTCTCGGGGGGCCGCGCTTCCTCGGTTACCAGCATCCTGGATGTGGAGGCCCCCAGAGCCCATGACGCCTGGAATGCCTCTGCTCCACCCTGGGCTTCAAGTCACCTTTGGGCACATGATTGGTGGGGGTGGGGCACAGTGATTTCCTAAAAATGATACTCACATGTCTGAGCAGCTGGAGACTCTGGTCTAGACCATGACCGCGGACCCTACAGTGAAGGGCAGCCCACTGGGTTTCAAATACAGCTTCAGGAGGAGTCTGCTATTATGTATGAAAGACGAACCATCCATCGGCCACAGTCAAGGACCTAGATGTTAAACACCAACAGGACTATTTCTAAGCAAGGTCTTTGGGGGTCTTTTTGGGGATTACGCATGGGATGGATTGGTTCCGCAGCCTGAGTGCCCCCGCATCCTGTGCCCCATGTTTTCACTGCTGTTGATGTGTCCCGCCTCCTAGGAAACGTCAGCTCATCCAGGGCAGAGACCATGTCTGGTTCACATTTATGCAGGGAAAGCTCACCCAGTGCCCAGCAGCCAAAACCCAAAGTGTGGTGGGATGTTTCCCCCACCACGCTGAGCCCTGCAGAAAACAGGACCCATCCTGCTCCCCAGGAGAGCAGAGGGCTCAGGTCCACAGCCAGGCTCCAGCTGTTTCCCACCGTGGGACCTTAAGCCATTCACTTTAGCAATCTGCCCCCGGCTTTCCTCACCTGGGAAGCCGCACCTCATGGGTTGCTGTGAGGATGACCTGGGCAGGCAAAGAGTTGGCACCGTGCAAGGCACAGAATGCCCACACTTGGGGACACCACTATCTGGCCTTCCAAGGGCCGAATGCAGCACTGCACATGCCACAGGTGCTCGGGAACTGCTTTTTTTTTCAAAGCAACATTTCTTAAAGTATAGGGATAACGATAGCATGTTATTGGTAGAATATGTGAATTCTTTTTTGTAAAGCGGAAGCTTGACTTCTTTTTCTCTGTCCCCCTCCCCAGCAGGACCAGACACTGGCCAAACTCCTGATGATGGGTCAAACCCTGCAATGGGCCAGATATAAAGGAGCAGGAATTCAGGGAATTCGCAAGCCAACTTCCCAAAAGGCCAGGGTAAGGATGGGAGATAACCTCCTAGGACTCTGCCCTCCTGCCTGAGCTGAGAATGCTGAGAGCCAGACCCAGCTGTGGAGACATGCCTGTGTCAGCCCCGCACAAACGGTGGTCTGTGGACCCAGACAGGTTCATGGTCTTTCGAGGACAGAGACTGTGTGAGGGGCCTTTCATCTACAGAATCAACCTGAATATGGTCAGACATTCACTTAGGGCAAATGAAAACTTGCAAACTCTAAAATTCATGTGTAGGATGTCCCCGGGAGCCAGGGCAATGGTTGCACTGGTCACATAGCCAGGCATCAAGGGAGACACTTTCCATGCATGAACTCAACTGAACTCATAGCAACCTGCTCCCATGTCACAAATGAGAAAGCCAAGGCTCAGAGAGGTCAAATGAGGTTCCTAAGGCCACTCAGTGCTAGAGCTAAGCTCTTCACCATTAGGGTCTCTGGTTTATAACCCCTGGCCTCACTGAGACGCTTGCTTGCTTAACCCCTGCAGAACCAGGGGCCCCATCAGAGAGATAAGCGATAGTGATAAACTGCATATATACATACCCGGGCCAAGAACCACATAGTAAGGTCACATCCCCTGCAAACATTTCTGAGTGGAACCAAAGTGATAAAGATGAAAACTCTGAATCAGGTCACACAAAAAAGGCAAAACTGAGTGACTTTGGGAGAATGCAACTTCCCCAAGACTGAGCTAACTCTGGCCGGCTTTCACCTGAGTCCCAGGTAAGCAAGGAAAGAAGAGGGGCAGATTGAGTTTAGCAGCCTCACTGGTTTTAGTACCAGGCCTGAGAATGGGGGTGGGTGTGGAAAAGACTCAGGCTCTGAGACTCTCTTGTGGGTGGGAGTGGCTCTCAAGTGGCTGCTGAGGTGGTAGCCAGAATCTGGGCTCCTGAGCCAGACAAATCTGGGCTTCCCTCCTGGCAAGCCATTCAGTCTTCCTGACTCTCAGTCTCTTCGTCTGAAATGTGTCCGGCAAACCTTTATTGACCAGCTGCTCCGAGCAGGACTGGTGCTGGGTGCTGGGGACACAACAATGAATGAGCGGGACCAGACTGGGCCCTCAGCAAGCTCACCGCCTAACAGGGGGAGACTGAATTAGGAGACAGGCAGATTCAGATATCAGCTAGAAGGAAATAACACAGGGATGGGAATACTCTCTCTCTCAGGCTGGCAGTGAGGGTTCAGGGTGTGCCCCCATGCCAGGGCTAAGTCTAGCACTGAGCATGCGGGCAGTGCCCAGCCGGGGAAGCCACTGCTGCTGCTGCTGTTATTATTATTACTAGAACCTGGATGAAGCCGGGCTGCCTGGGGGAGCCAGTCTCATCACTGCATCACATTCAAAAGAAACACTGGCCTGACATCCCCAAATCATTGAACGCAGTTCAAATCTCTCTGAAATCTCTCAAAGAGACACCAAAGGGGAATTCCTTTGTGCACCACACACAAAAACGTCCCCAAGACTGCCTGGAAGGTCTCGTGGCAGCTGCTCCAAAAACATCTCCCTTCCCTCTCCCTCCCTTTTATCCTTACCAGAAAGGCAGGGGCTGCTGGGCCTGTCCTCGGAGATGGGGGACTGAGTTGGAGCCAGGCTCTGCCCTCCCTAGCTATGGGGCCCTGGGCACACACGTAACTACTCTGTGCCTCAGTTTCCTCATCTGCAAATTACAGATAACAATCGCACCACCTTCATGGGGCTGTTGGGGGATTCAAGGAGATAATCTCTGCAAAGTGCATAAGATGGGCAGACACAGAGCTAGGCTGTCTAAGTGAGAACCAGCCCTACTCCCTCCTGCCTCCCTCGCCCACCCGCCCTTTGCATCTCGCCCCAGTTAGGAGTGCTGAGCAGTGTCCCTTGTAGGCCAGTCTGAGTTTTCCAGGTCCTGCCCCTCAGTGGCACCTCGACCCATTGCCCCATACAGCACAGACAAAGGGCCGGGGCTGGGCAGGCAAACCCGGAAACTCTTAGGACTGGGCAACAAGAGCCAGGACCACACTTATTCCTGCCTCCTCTAAGGGGGCATCCTCCCTCCTCCATAGAAGGCACGCACACAACAGCTTCCCCAGGGCATCAACGCAAACCATCAGTGCTCGAGGGCACAGCCAGGTGTTCTGCAGCCCTGGGGCCCGCTGATGAGTTCAGGAAGGACGGTTCCCACCAACTGAGGCTGCTGCTTGCTCCAAACCTGGGCAGTGTGGCCATGGTGGTTCCTGCCTCTACCTGGCTCCCAGGCCACCGAGCAGAGGATATAGATGTCTCACTTCCTGAGGGGCTCTGGGCCAGGCCCTTGCAGGTGCCAGCAACACAACTGTGAACAGCCTGTGGGGTTCCTGCCCTCATGGTGCTCACAGTCTTGTGAGCAAAGCAGACAATCGGGGAGGGAGGATGGGGTGAGAAAGCCAGAGGCGACAGAAGGGGACGTGCTGGGCATCAGGGGGGGCTTCCCAGAGGAAGAGGCACTGAAGGGAAGGGCCAGAGTGAGAAGGGGAGGAGTTGCAGACAGAGGCCACAGCCTGGGCAAAGGCCTGGGAGAGAGGAAGGGGTGGGTTCCAGGAGCTGCAAGTTCTCCCCCACCTCCCCAGCAGGTGCAGTTCACTGCCCACGGTCACATACACCATGTACTCGGTCACCACCGCCGGCCCGGGAGGTCAGAGAGCAGGCACTTTTACTCCCTATTCACACACGGGGAGACCCGTGCTGAGTGAGAAAGTAACAGCCCCGCTGCACTGGAACCCGGATCTCCTGCCTCCTGGCCCAAGTGAGAGAATCGGGATGCAGCCGTGCATGTGCGGAGCGGTCAGGATAGGGCCCTATTATCATCGCCCCATTTTACAGATGAAGAAACTGAGGCTTAGTGATAGCACAACATCCCTCCAGTCCTGCAGTCTTTGTCTATCTCTGTGGACCTAGGACAAGTCCGAGGTGCCCAGATGCCCTCCCCGGGTGGGGTGGTAAACAGAGCCAGGAACGGGGTGACTCGGGGTGAAGGAAGGAGGGGTGCTGGGGCTGGGTTGCGGAAACCGACACCAGGCAGGAAAGGTGTAGGAATGTGGGTGGGGATAGGGCGGGCCTCAGCAAGAGGCCAGTCCGGGGTGGGGGGACCAGAGTCCCAGGCAGCCCCCCCTCTCCCTTCCAGGTGAGACCCCAACTTCCTGGAAGACACCACCCCCCAGCTGGGCGGGGAGAAGGACCACCGCCTCCTGGCCGCCCAATCAGAGGCCGTCCCAGTCTGATGGCGGAGGCAGCCAGGGCGGAGGGCTCCCAGGGCCTTCCCGGGGGAGCCCCGGGACCTGACCCCCGCTCAGCGGCCCACCGCCGACCGCCCACCCCCAGGCTCATTAGCAGCGACGCCCGTCGTCCTCCCTCGGTTTCCGGTGGTTCCAGAATTTAAAGGTTAAATCCTAACCTCGTCTCAGCAGTTTCTCCCGGCTTTGCCTACCCAGCGCCAGTGGCTGGTAATTATATGCATCTCCGAGCAGCCAATCAGCTGTCAGACTGACAGATACTGATCTTTTCGTTTTATTTTTAGCTCTGTGCTTCCCCCTCTAGTTGCAAAAAAAAAATTCTGTTTGTTCTGAGCGCGGCCGCCTCGCTCCCAGCCCTGCAGCCGGCTCTCATCTCCGCCAGCCAGGCGGGAGCAGGCAGCCGGAGGGGCTGGAGCCTGCGGCCCCCGCCCGCGACGGGGGACAGGACGACCCGCCGCCCCCG